TTTCTCTTCATACACACTTAACAGTATTTTTCTCCTTTTTCCTTTATGTTCTATGCCCCTTCAGGATGTGGGCAATAATGGTTCTCCACAAATTCCTATCTGTTGCAGCTCTTAGCAATGTTTGTCTTTTCAACATTCCTCCCAGTCTCTCTTCTGCCAGCCATTAAAAAAAATTTAGTATATAATTAGTTTTGTTTTTTTACTGTGATCAGTGAGGGATATATTAGTATGTTTTTAGGGTTTTTTTCTTGAACTATAAAGCATTATGTGCCTCAAATGATTCTTGTTAGCAGGGTTTTAATCAAACAAAATTTAATTTTATTGTTCTCTGAAATAAAATTTGATCAGTTTAAATGCATCTAAACATAAAAATAATGTTCAGCTCCATTAGACATTATAAAATACTCTTTAATACTCTTTAAATTTTTTTCAATTTAACAAAAAGTTAAAATTCGGACAGAACTTATGGGATACCTGATACAATTTTGATCTTTTACAAAACATTAGTTGATAGAGAAGTTTTATTGCTGATGATTAAGTTGGTTGTATTAAATTTAGTATAGTATATAATTAGCTTTATTTTTTTACTGTGATCAGTGAGGGATATATTAGTATGATTTTAGCATTTTTTTAAGATCAAAGTTGATTTAGAAGCAAGAAACTGGAAGAGAGCTTCACAAGTAAGAAATGCAAGAGAAGAAACTGTTAGCATAAATCTTACAATTACAGCTAGCTATTTTAATTGTAAAATGATGAGACCTAGCTGCCAATCTAGTACTGAACTTAAATTCATAAAGTCTAGGTACCAAAGAAGAAAGCTCATCAGAACAATTACTATAAAAATATATATAGAAATGTAACTATGAACCTAAAGAACCAGGCAAACCAACCTAGGTTTCACCTACATGGATTGTCAGGGTACGCTGGCCAAAGAGGTAACAGAAATGTATAGGAAAGCTATGTTATGGTGGTGGGAAAGTGACTAAAGCCAAGATACTAAATCAGGACTGATAACTTTGCAGATTCTTCTTTGTATTTTATCAAGAATTTTTAAATTCATAGTAGGAGTACCAATTCAAATATGGTCGCAATAAATGTGACTCTTTACTATCTGTTTTATTCCTTGTTACATTTACAAAATCTCATTAAGCAGTTTTCTCAATGTGTCTCTCTTGGCTTTGTTATGTCCTTTGCATGCTGTCATCATCATCGACATCTTTCGATATCCCTATGGTTCATCAGAACTCCATTGACAATTCCTTTATACACTGTTTGGTCCTGTATTGTTGTCCCCATATCTCCAATATTCAACCCTGAGTCCTGAGCTATGGTGTCTAAGAAAATCAATTTTCATAAGAAGACAATTCCAGAAGGATGCCATAGAAGTGTTGCAGTGAAATTGGTAAATAGAGTTTTACCTGTCTATGTTTTTGAAATAAGGTAGTGTAACTATTTACACGATTTAAATTCTTTGGATTGTTTACCTCATCTTTATTGCCATATTCATGACTTTTCAGCCATTGTACACTCTGGCCTTCTTCAGCCAATAAATTTTGGAACCAAACCCTTTATTTAGTCCACAGAGATAGATTGTTCTCAAGGACACATGGCCCAGTTGATAAAAGCACTGGTTGAAGTAATCCAAAAAGTGACTTGACCCAAAGAGTTGTGCGTTCAATACCTGGTCACAGCAGAGATGAACAAATAAAACTTGGAAAGTTGACTTACTAAAAGGAATTAACTAAAACTGAGATATCCAGAAAAGTCATGGCATGTGGAATTAGTACAATCTATAAGCTACAGATTAATTAGATTAATTCTAATTAGACATGAGGTGTGGATAGTCATATTAAAAACAGCTGTAAATAATAAAACACTTATTCTAACCTTGCAAAGCTGATAAGAAGTCAGAAAACATGGAAAAAAATAGGCATACCCCACAACACACAAAATAAATTTTATGTATCATGTTCCTTTAAGATTTGAGCAATCATGGCTCTCCACAATTTCCTATGCATTGCAATTATAAGCAATATTGTCCCCCTCTACCTTTTTAAATCATTTCCTCATGGACTAAATAAATGGTTTTATTCAAAATTCTAACATATATCACCTGAATAAGGTCGAAGTGTAGAATGGTCAAATCATGAATATGGCGATAAAGATGAGGACAACATTTTGAATAATGTAAATAGTGTAAATAATTTAATCTGATTAAATCAACTAAAAGATAAAAAGAAAGTACAAGAAGAAACCCAACCTATACAAAGCTTAAAAGATGAGGACAACAATCCGAATGATGTAAATAGTGTAAAAAAAAAATAAAAAAAAGGATTTTAACTGTTTGCGTATATTGGTAATAGGAGAAATAATGTCTAGAGTAGAGAGTCAGGTGACAGGAAGTTGATTACTGATCATGTGTCATAAAACAACACTATGCAACATCTACCAGAATTTGTTGAGACTTGGATTCAGTGTTTTGCAGCCCTGGCAAGGGCTAAAAAAATTGAAATATTGCAAGACAAGAGGGAGAGAAAATAGGATAACCAACCTTTTCTTGCAGGTTGTGAAACTATAATGAAAATTTCTGTTATGGTATACCCCAAAAAATTGGAGGATTTGACTTTCGGCAAAAGAAATTTGTGACCTAAGAAAAAACTTGTCTTCGCGGAAAGAACCAAATTTCTGTCAGTTAAAAAGAAACAAGATGAAACAATTATACAATATCTTCACAGATTAAGAGAAGCTAGCATATTCTGTGAGTTTGAGAAAAACTGGGAACTCAAGGTCTTGACAAAGAAAGGATGAGTTCTTCAGATCAGGAAAATGTAATAGAAAACAAACCTATGAATGATAGCAGGAGTAACTCAGACATGGAAAAAGATGAAATGAGACCAGGATCTCCATGAAAAAGAACAGGACATAAACCCCAAAGAGGAGAAAAGAAAAGGGGTTGGAGAATAAGTTCAAAAACAACAAAAGGTATTAAAGTTCTTTGGTTCAGGGAGGTGTAGTAGGATAGAGAAATAGGATTTTACTTATTTGCATATGTTGGTTATAGAATAAATAAAATGTAGAGTAAAGTGTCAGACAACAGGAAGTTGACTACTCGTCATGTGCCAAAAAAACAACACTATAAAACAAGTGTAAAATGCTCTTGGCCCTCTTTCCTAACTATGTGTATCAAATATTTCAACTCTTTTTTTATTCTGTATATAAGTGGCCTTTTTGTTTACATTTTCCTTAAAATTTCCTGACTGCTTATATATTCAGTCTATGGGATTGTCAGCATCCTTTTCTAGAACACTTTCTATTGCCTCAAATGTCCTTCATCTCTGAGGAAATTGTCCAGCATTCACAGCCATATAGGATGACTGATGTTACATAACAATTCAGTCCTCTTTTCTTTATTTCTGTTGCTTCAAGTCTCTTCTTCATCTGTGAGGAAATTGCCCAGCATTCGCAGCCATATAGGAGGACTGATATTATATAACAGTTCAGTACCCTTTTCTTTGTTTCTCTTGCTTCAAGTCTCTTCTTCATTTGTGAGGAAATTGCCCAGCATTCGCAGCCATATATGATGGCTGATATTATATAACAGTTCAGCATTCTTTCTTTTGTTTCTAATGAAATTTTCTCATATAATAATTCTCTTGTAGTAGTTCTCAACATTTTTTTCACCTAAGGCACCCTTTTCTTTATAAATCAGAATCTCATTCTGCACTTTCCAAGATTGTCCAACTCAAAAGAAGCATTCTAAATATGCATCTCTTATTGAAAATCATCATTCTTTCCTGTATTAGTACATATACATTTACATGGATTATTTTTATAGAGGAATTTTAGAAACTTAATAACAATAGGTGGATTGATAGATTTTTAAATACACGGTAATTTCTTTTAATTCATAAGTGAATATAAAATAAGAAAACTGAAGTAGACTTCAAAAAACAAAAATTCAATAGAATGACGGGGTATTGTAATTCAATAAACAAAATTCTTTAATTAAAGAAAAAGTAAAAGATCCCACCCTGGAATCCCAAAGTTCACCCCTGTTTTATTGCTCACTCAGCCATGACTTACACTTTGTGAATTAATTCTTACACAAAAAAAATTGGTCAGATTTTGCTGACATTCCTTTAATTTATTAATCTTGATAAATGTTTCAAACATGTTATCGATAATACTTGCTTGAGGCCGACAGCACACAGTTTTAGATTGAAAGCAATGAAATCATCAGTAATAAACTTCTTAGATATTCTTGATTAAGGAATAAAAAAAAAAGGAATTTACTGTTTCCACTGAGAAATTGAATCAAAGATATGTATGAAGAAGCCTATAATTTAGGTCTTTGTTTTGGTGTGAAGGTTCTTTAAATAGTAAAGTAATTTGGAAAAGGAGTTGCTGAAAAAGTTCTTGGTCAGGCCCACTCATAGAATACAATAATTCTTCTAGTATTAACATATTTTCACTATCTTGTTCAAGTATGGCATACACTATTTACATTATTTGAACTATTGTCCTCATCTTTGTTGCCATCTTTATCACAACATTTCGGCCATTGTACACTCTGGCCTTCTTCAGGTAGTTGAAATGTCGAACTGAAACCTTTATTTCACTCACTGGAGTAGACTGTTCTAGTTCCACATGCCATGTCTAATGGATGTCAGTTATCAGTTATCTCCTGTTAATTCATGTCTCCAAGTTCTCCACTGCCTTAACCAGGTACTGAACTCACAACTCTTTGGGTCCTGTCACTGGATCTAACCAATGCCTTTATCCACTGTACCATGTGTCTTTGAGGACATCTGTGTATGAATTTCTGGGACATAGAAACGTTGTGATAAATATGGCAACAAAGATGAGGACAATAGTCTGAATAATGTAAATAGTGTACATAATACTTCATCTCAGAAATATAGACAGATACTGAAGGGCCAAAACATTGTAATAAATATGGTGACAATAGACCGAATAAGGTAAATAGTGTACATAATACTTCATCTCAGAAATATAGACAGATACTGAAGTATGATGTAGATAAGAAAACTTAGATCGAAAGTAAACTTAGATAAGTAAACTGGGATAGATGAATAAAGTAAACAGAGATAGATACATAGGTAGAAAGAGAGAAAAGTAAACTGAGACAGAGAGACAGGCAAAAATAAACATAGATAAATAGAGAGAAAAGTAAACTGAGACAGAGAGACAGACAGTAAAGTGGAGCATAGATAGTCACAGAGACAAGTACACATAATCAGAGAGACTGTGAAATTGTTATATAAAGATTGATATATAAATGTCAACTGAGATAGATGAATAGAATTGAAGGAGACTGATGGACATCAAAGTAGACAAAGCTAGGTTGATATAGAGAAGCCTGAGATAAATAGATGTACACTGAGATAGATGATCTATAATAGATAAATTGATCACCAGAACTAAGAGATGAATGAATTCTGGAAAGCCTCCAGCCTGACCTACTTTCCCAAATCGAGCCCAAACATAAGAATTCTTGGTTGCACTGAGAACTTTTCCATTGTATATGGCTGCATAAACATATAGATAACAGTGGGTTATGTTATATACATATATGCATGGGTGGATTGACAGATTGAGAAGCAGATGTGTAGATGAATAAAAGAAATGGAAAGTGTATGGAGCATGTGAATGCATTTTGCACATTCACAGAAGTGTAGGCAGAATGAAAATGATCAAATTAATGTTTTTTGCAAATCTACCTTAAAAGGTTTTCATTGGAAGCAAAGTAGAAGTTAAAATCTTGTGACCTCCTCTAAAATGCGAAATAATGAATGTGTATGTGTGTTAACATGCCATGAGCTTCATCAATCATTAACTTAAGAATTAAGATTCATCAGAAAATTCAAATAGGTAAACTTTGAAATTTTCATAGGTTAAAACTGATATGTATAAAATAAATATAGGTGTCTATTCCAAATACAAAGTATCCACTATTAATTCTCTCAGTCACTGTGTGTTTATCTAAAAATAAATACGCCTAAATTCACCTTCTTCCCTGCTGTGCGCAGGGGTAAAATCTCTGACTGATGCCAATTCAGCCAGCTTTCGACCCTAGCTAGAGGCAACCAGACGTCTAGCCACACTGATGAGCTGGGATACAATGAAACTGTCTGTCTGTTGATGACAATATATGCTCCTGAAAAATTTATTTTGGTTGAACTCTCTGGGGAGGAAGTGTGGGTTTGTAAACAGTGACTATTATGGCTAATAATGCCTGACTCTTCAGTAAATCAAATTGAGTACTCTCAGTCATTGTGTGTTTATCTAAAAATAAATACACTTAAATTCACCATCTTCCCTGCTGTGCGCTAATGGCTTAGAGGTAAAATCTGACACCAATTCAGCCAGGTTTTGATCATAGCTAGAGGCAACTGAATGTCTAGCCACACTGATGAGCTGTGATACAGCGAAAGAGTCTGCCTGTGGATGAGAATATATATATATATATATATATATATATATAGTGGATACTTTGTATTTGGAATAATGCCCCATTTTTATGTATTAAATAGTGTGTATTATGTCTATTGGTCTGTGCATTGGAGAAATCTTAGTAAAGAAAATGTGTTCCCCAGCTGTGATATTCTTCATGGACAAGTAGTAAAACATACTGGATTAAATGATGGCTTCCTCTACAAGGCAGGATGCAGAATCAAACACTTAATACTTCTCATTTTCACTCTCACATAGTCATGTGTGATGTCATGAGCTGCGGTGCGATTTTCGCTTCTAGCGTCTCATATGCACGATTTTGTCATTGCTTGGAAATCTTCCATGTAAACAAAAACAGACTATCATTATTGCTTTGTTCATGTATTGTTTAATATATTATAATGTAATTGTCATCTTTGATAATGGCTTACGTAAGCCAAAAGCTTAGATAGGATTAAAAAATATGTATCAATATTGTGATTTTCTTTCGTCTTTTAATGATAATGTTATTAAGCTTATCAGACGATATGAAAAGAATTTAGATAAAATAAATAGACAAAACTTGTCTATATTATTTAATGAAACATGCATCAATGAAAAAATGCTGCCTAGATATATATATATGCATACACTATAGGTAAAAAGTTTGGGGTTAAAATGAGATATTTTTGTATTTTGCTTTAAAGTAAAAGATAAAATTTCAGTGACTACAGTGGATTTGCTTTTATTTTTCAGTCTTTCTCTAGGTTCCAAAAATTTAAAATTTGCATTTGTCTGTTCACAATACATTTTGCTAAATTAGGAATATTTTGTATGAGAAAACATATTTTATTTTCACCATTAACCCCTAAGTAGACATTTTGAATTTACCAAAAGGGCTGAAGATTTGATTCAGATCAAGGGAATCATGAAAAAAGAACTATATCATTCAGTTTAGCAAAGACATCCGATACTATTGATTGATTTGTTTTTTATGGCTTATCAACCATTTTAAGGTTATTTAATGCCAAATCATATTTTTGGATTGTAAGAAATTTTTGGTGATAATGATTTTCTGATACAAGTTCTACCCATAGCTAGGAGGAGAAGAGGTGAGTAAATACCTTCCACACATGTGAACATAACAAACCCAACTTGATTTTGAACTCAGCGCTCTGAATTCTCACTCTGAGGTCTTATCCATTATACCACCTGTGCATGCAAGCTGCCATGGTATTCCTGAGTAGTTGCCCATGTAGCTAGTAACCTTGCACAAAATTACTTCAGTGATTTGATGAGAACTAGTGTTTTAACATGATATGGCCCTAAACCTCATGACTAGAGAAAATTCAGGGTTTGCTCTGTGATGATGAAATATTACTTTTATTACTCTCTTGGAGAGTTCACAAACTGATCATAGGATTCGACTTTAGACATTTAAGCACTTTGCTTTTGGCTTAGATAGATATTGAACTCACTAACTTTGGTGATCATACAAGAATCAGTGTTTCAACATGATGTGTGGTTGTAAGCTCATTATTATTTAGTACTACTCAGTTAATTGCTTACTCAGTTTCAACTGAGTCTAAGAAGGGACAACAGTAGAAACCTGATCATAGCAACAAAGATGAGAACATTAGTCCAAGTGTAAATAATGATAACTCCTACACCCCAGGAATTCAGACAGGAATTTCATTTTAACTGCAGGATCTGCCAAATCTCAAATACTAAAATAAAATAATGGCCAACACCCAGTAATATTTTTGGCCAGGATTGTTGCTATGACGACAGCAATTGCTCTGCCTGGGAAATAAACAATTGATTAGCTGAAGCAAAGATTCCTACCGAAATTGAAATTCTCATTGCATTCTGTATTAACTGCCAGGTGTATTTTGTACGTCCAACTGAAGAATGTGAATATGCAGGTAGTGTAATAGATAGCAACATAGAATGCGGAATTGGTAAGCCAACTTCAAATTGCATTTACTTTTTCAGAAAGCGCAGGTGTGTAATGAATAGTGGTTTGGAATGAAAAAGTAGTAGGGCTGTACATTCTTTACATTATTCAGACTATTGTCCTCATCTTTGTCACCATATTCATCACAATGTTTTGGCCCTTCAGTATCTGACTATATTTCTGAGATGAGGTATTATGTACACTATTTACATTGTTCAGACTATTGTCCTCATCTTTGTCACCATATTCATCACAATGTTTTGGCCCTTCAGTATCTGACTATATTTCTGAGATGAGGTATTATGTACACTATTTACATTATTCAGACTATTGTCCTCATCTTTGTCACCATATTCATCATAACGTTTCAGCCCTTCAGTATCTGTCTATATTTCTGAGATGAGGTATTATGTACACTATTTACATTATTTGGACTATTGTCCTCATCTTTGTCACCATATTCATCACAATGTTTTGGCCTTTCAGTATCTGACTATATTTCTGAGATGAGGTATTATGTACACTATTTACATTATTCGGACTATTGTCCTCATCTTTGTCACCATATTCATCATAACGTTTTGGCCCTTCAGTATCTGTCTATATTTCTGAGATGAGGTATTATGTACACTATTTACATTATTCAGACTATTGTCCTCATCTTTGTCACTATATTCATCATAACGTTTCGGCCCTTCAGTATCTGTCTATATTTCTGAGATGAGGTATTATGTACACTATTTACATTATTCAGACTATTGTCCTCATCTTTGTCACCATATTCATCATAACGTTTCGGCCCTTCAGTATCTGTCTATATTTCTGAGATGAGGTATTATGTACACTATTTATATTATTCGGACTATTGTCCTCATCTTTGTCACCATATTCATCATAACGTTTCAGCCCTTCAGTATCTGTCTATATTTTTGAGATGAGGTATTATGTACACTATTTACATTATTTGGACTATTGTCCTCATTTTTGTCGCTATATTTATTACAACGTTTCGGCCCTTTTGTAATTGTCAATATTTCTGAGATGAGGTATTATGTACACTATTTACATTATTCGGACTATTGTCCTCATCTTTGTTGCCATATTTATTACAATGTTTTGATCGTTGTACACTTCAGCCTTCTTCCTGGTTGGAATGTAAAACTGAACCCTTTATTTCGCTCACTGGGGTAGACTGTTTTAGTTTCACGTGCCATATTTTTAATGGATGTCAGTTATCAGTTATCTCCTGTTAATTCCCCTCTGCAAATTCTCCACTGCTTTAACTGGGTTTTGAACTCACACTCTTTGGGTCCTGTCACTGGATCTAACCAATGCCTTTATCCACTGTTCCATGAGTCCTCATCCCAGTTTTTTGGGGCTGCTGCCATGTACCCAGGGTAGTTGTTACTTTGTAGGGTACTACTTATACTGACCAAAGAGTGTGAGTTCAATACCCAATTAATGCAGTGGAGAACTTGCAGAGAGGAATTAACAGGAGATAACTGACATCCATTAGACATGGCACGTGGAACTAGAACAGTCTACCCCAGTGAGTGAAATAAAGGGTTCAGTTTGACATTCCAACCACCTGAAGAAGGCCAGAGCATACAATGGCTGTAATGTTGTAATAAATATGGCAACAAAGATGAGGACAAATAATGTAAATAATTATTTTGTTATAGAAATGCTTTGAAAATCAAACCAAAATAGATTGTCATTGGTCAAGAATTAAAGCAAAGTATTACTGATAAATTAACGTTATAATATGTATAATGTACATGCATTATTGATGGTTTTTATTATAGAAATTCTCAGTGAGTGAAATAAAGAGTACAGTTCAACATTCCAACCACCTGGAGAAGGCCGGAGTGTACAACGGTTGAAACGTTGTCATAAATATGGCGACAAAGATGAGGACAATAGACTGAATAATGTAAATAGTGTATATAATACCTCATCTCAGAAATATAGACAGATACTGAAGGGCCAAAACGTTGTGATAAATATGTCAACAATGATGAGGACAATAGTCCGAATAATGTAAATTGTGTACATAATACCTCATCTCAGAAATATAGATAGATACTGAAGGGCCGAAACGTTGTGATAAATAGGGCGACAAATATGAGGACAATAGTCCGAAAAATGTAAATATTGTACATAATACCTCATCTCAGAAATATAGACAGATACTGAAGGGGCGGAACATTGTAATAGATATGGCGACAAGGATGAGAACAATAGTCCGAATAATGTAAATAGTGTACATAATACCTCATCTCAGAAATATAGACAGATACTGAAAGGCCGAAACGTTGTAATAAATATGGCAACAAAGAAGAGGACAATAGTCTAAATAATATAAATAGTGTACATAATACCTCATCTCAGAAATATAGGCAGATTCTATTAGGGCTGTGTTCAACTTCTAGTTGAGTTCATTACATTCACTTACATTTTTTCTTATTACTATAAACATTATTTTTAGTGAGTGCTGATATCTGAGTTGTCTCACACATAAAACTTTTTCTACTTTATCATTAATTATCTTAAAAAATGAAAAATTATGTATCATATTCATCCAGAAAAATAAAATGAATAAATAAATAAAAATAAAATAATAAAAAGCAGGATTCTGTATAATCCAAATGACTAGTGCTAAGAAAAAATACCTGCAAAAGCCAGTTTCTTTTTTCTCCATTTCTTGTAAGCCCTAGTGACCTATATAGAGTGCCTATACAATTGGTCCTGATCTGGCATCTCGTCTTCAGTCGCTCTCTCACAGACACGTCGTCACCTTCCTCTGTATTTTCTACAAATACTTTCATGGTAACTGCTCCGACGAGCTACTTTTGTTAGTTCCCAGACTGTATAAATTTAAGCGTGCTACTAGGCTGGCATCATGGTCCCACCCTTTCACTGTCAAAATGGTTAAATATGGCTGTCTCTTCTACTCCAATAGCTTCATATCTCGCACATCCCATCTGTGGAATTCCCTTCCTTTTACTTGTTTCCCTGATAGCTATAATCTCCAACTATTCAAATGTAATGTCAATCGACATCTCCAGATGCCCTGAACTATCCCCTGCCCTTCTCTTCATCCTTTCCTCCATCATACCTCTTTACTCTCGCAATGACTCTGTAACCCCTTGTGTACCAGTGGCATCCCGCCTTTCTTGGGGTGAAATGCTTAAAAAAAAAGCAACAAAAAAACTCAGGGTCTGAAGATTGCTTCAGACTTGAAACAGCAAAGTTAGGATCTATATCTGTAATGTTGATATCTACAAATGTGCTATCCCCAAAACTGATCACACTTCCATCACAAGTATAGCAAATTTTAAACAATATAATTATATATATTATCTACATTAGGACTTATATCTGCAGCTTTGTTGCTATTATCACAATGTTTTGACAGATACATAAATAAACAGGTTTCAATATTTCGTAAGTTAGCTAGATAGAAAAATAGAAACAGAATGGGATAGATGGATAGATATGAACAGACTGCAATAGATATGAACAGATGCACAGATGCTGCATAGCCCCTTGTTGTGGGTGGATTTGGGTGACATTGTCAATTCAATAATAAAATTGCATTCTTCTCTTACGGCCAGTGATTGCTAGTTGTTGTGAGTCCAGGAATAAAGGAACTTCAACACAGGGAATTTTAACTTAGCTATTTTATTCTGTCAATGTATACATTTCTAACAATCCAGTGGTGTCACACTCCCTCCACTGGGAAGCCATTTCAGACACAAAAGAAAGCATTGTTTGACAGTTAAGACTTGACTATGAAAAACTTCAGCCAATCAAAATTGACTTCCATATATTGTATTGTATCTGATCCCTAAGGTCAACCTCGGGAAGTTGGAGCAATGATACACTTCCTCTAAAAAATAAGATAGATAGATAGATAGATATAACCAAACTGAAATAGATATATAGATATAAACAGACTGGGATAGAAAGACAGATATTAACAGAATGATATAGATAGATAGAAAGGCTAAGTTAGATAGACAGATACATAGATAAACAGATAGATAGACATGAATAGACAGATAGGTATGAACGAAATGAAATAGATATGAACAGACTGAGATAAATATGAATAGAATTAGATAGATAAATAAATATGAACTGACTGAGATAGATATAAACAGAGTGAGATAGATATGAACATGCTGACCTAGATAGATATATAGATAGGTAGATATGAACAGACTGAGAAAGATATATAGAGGTGAAAAGGAATGAGATACATTTGAACAGACTGAGACAGATCTGAACAAATTGAGATAGGAACAGACTCAAATAGAAAGATAGGTAGGTAGATAGAGATGAACTGACTGAGATAGAGATGAACAGAGATAGATTGATAGATATGAACAGACTGAAACAGATATGAATAGACTCAGATAGATGATAGGCTGGTTCCTTTCCATCTGTCACGCCTTAATAGTGGTATAGTCATGAATTTTTCATGTGTGGGTAGTGGCAACATCTCTTTATTCTGAATGATGGCACTTTTCTGGTTGCTGTTCCCAACTGATAGGATCCCAAACTCTAACACAGTGTCTTGAGAGTCTGCTCTAATTAAGAGTCACATGATATCAGGGTTCTTGCCATATCACTTATTGTGTCCCTGTGAGCACCACCAATGGGCAACACTCAGTCCCCACTATGTTGCAGCCTGAACTAATTCCCTTCCTGCTACTACTACCCTAGACCTTTCCTTACCAAAATGACAGATCATGACAATAAGCAACTAAAGATATAAACCTAAACCAGCTCAACAAAAAACACTTAAATTCCTTAACCTTTCTTTCTCCAATAATCGTTATTTTCATACCAAATTCTTCAGTGCAGATTCATTCCTCTTTGAAAAGTTTCTGGACATCCTAGCTCTCTGTGAGACTAATCTTCACTCTTTAATCCCCTCCTCTGATTTCTTGATTCCTGGCTACCTTTCTTTCCTTAGAAAGGACTCTAATGTCCACATGGCCTGGGAGTTTATGTCTGTGGACATTTCCCACTAGCTAGGAAACTCTCCCTTGAATCTCCAGACCATTCTTACATGTGTCTCCGTCTCTCTCTACTTAAATCAGTCAGCTCTCTCTTCTTTCTCTACCATTTCCCTTCCTCTCAAGACATCTGCTGTTAGATACTATTTCTGATAATATAGATAAGGCAATCTTCCTACACCCATTTGCAACTATATTTGTGTTCAGTGACTTTAATGCCCACCATACCAAGTGGCTTAAACACTCTGTCACTGACCTTGCTGGCATCCAAACCCTTAACATCTCAATCTCTCACACAAGGGGTTGACTTCCCCACACATTTCCCCAGTAACCTCTTCTCAATCTCTTTTTTACCTCTATCTCTGACTCTTGTCATACTATACAGTTTTGCCCTCTTGGCAGCTCTGATCATGCAGTAGTCTGTAAACATCTTCTTCTGCTTCCCTACCAGGCAAGAACCCCCTACCAACAAAATATCTTTCTGTTATCAACAAGCAGATTTGAACTCGTTCTGTGATCACCTTTGTGACGTCTCTTGGAATGAAGTTTTTAATCCTGTTCAAAAATGTGCATCTGATGTCTCTTCCTGGGTGAAAGCCAGCATCAATACTTTCAATCCAGTAAAGAAATACCAAGTTAAACTGTTTATCTCTCTGATTTTCACCTGCATGATTGGTTGCTATAGCCCACAGGAATCACTTCTTTCATCTATACCAGAGAGACACATCTGATTGCAAAGGGACGTCTCTTTGACTCTGCTCATAATGAGTACAATCATGTCCTCAAAGAAGCAAAGTTACTGTTTGCTGATAGAATGAAACAACATATAGCATCTTGCAGGTTCAGTTCTAGAGATTATTGGTGGCTCTGCAAGAGTGGGCTGAACTACAGCAGATCCTCAATCCCTCCTCTATTCAATCAATTCAAAGTCCTGAGTAGACAAGGTTGAATGCGTTGTTTGGAAATTCTCTTCCAACTCAACACTCAACTCTTTTGGAGTACACACACCTGATTTTCCCAATAGGACAGAGTGATATGCACATAACCCTGTCACTCGTCTCAGATAGATAGATAGAAGTGAACAGATTGCGATAGATAAATAGGAGCAGGCTGAGATATGAATAGATTTAGATATGAACAAACTGAGATAAATAGATATGAACAAACTTAAATAAATAGAGATGAACAAACTGAGATAGATATAAACAAATTGAGGTAGATATGAACAAGCTGAGATAAATAGATATGAACAAATTGAGGTAGATATGAACAAACTGAGATAGATATGAACAAATTGAGGTAAATATGAACAAATTGAGGTAGATATGAACAAACTGAGATAGATATGAACAAATTGAGGTAAATAGATATGAACAAATTGAGGTAGATATGAACAAACTTAGATAAATAGAGATGAACAAACTGAGATAGATATGAACAAATTGAGGTAGATATGAACAAGCTGAGGTAAATAGATATGAACAAATTGAGGTAGATATGAGCAATCTTGGATATGAACAAATTGAGGTAGATATGAACAAACTGAGATAAATATGAACAAACAGATAAATAGATAGATATGAACAAACTGAGATAGATAGATTGATAGATAGATATGAACAGACTGAGATAAATCTATGAAAGGATAGTGTAAATAATCCCCATTTCCTTCATATTCCAATAGAAACTAAGTTCTATTCTGATCACTTCTTCCCAAGAATTGCTGCTTTGTGAAACCAATTCCCAGCAGGATGTTTTCTCTACCACGACAATCTTGACCTCTTCAAGTCTATTGTTAACCATTTTCTTTCTTGCATAGGCTCATGAACTTCACTCATGCTCATACAACACCACACAATAGCCCTTCTACTTTGAGCCTGTTATTGGGTGAACATTAATATAAAAAAGATGAGTATGAACAGATTTCAATATTTTGTGAGTTAGCTAGCTAGATAAATAGAAACAAAATGGGAAAGATAGGTATATACATAGATAAAACTTAATACAAAAGAAAATGGAGTCAGAATATTGTGTTACTGTTCTCTACAGACTAGGAGTTCTGACTTTTATCAAAGCGCAAACACTGACATCTGGTACTTGTGGTAACAACACAACTACTGCAGCCACCAGGCAATCTACTTTCAACTTCTAATAACTGGCTCAATTGTCTGGCTCCCAATTCAGTGTGCTGCCAGCTGAGCCACGTCACCTGCATGATTCTGTTGTCACATTAGAAATAATGAGACAACAACAGAAATGGCTGTCAAGAAATTCTTCACTTAATAGAGACTTGATTAGCAGATATTCATGAGAATGGAATTGGTAAATTATGGTATAAAAATAAATCCATTCAAAAAAAAAAATGAGACAAATAAGTATAAAATATAAAGAATTAAAAGATAAAAAAAGATTAATAAAATCCGGCAAGGAGGTTAAAATAAATTCTCTTATAAGCTGATTAAAAGATGAAGAATTCTTTGCTGTGATTCATTACATTGGCATGCAAATTCTTTCTTGCTTTTGCATTTTTCGTTCCATCCAAATAAAAATATTCTTTAGAAGCTTTGGACGTTTCATTCCAATTATGCTAAAAATGCAATTCTCTTGCTTCAGTAAAAAAAAAAAAATCTTTTGTCTTCCATAGAAAGTCTATTAAGCATTAGTCAAGCCAAAGTAGTTTTCTTGTTTAATTCTTTAAATTAATATCTCAGTACCAAAAAATGGTTTATTCCCATATGACTTTGTAACACCCGTTCTTATACAATCACTGAAGTTAAGCACCGTAACCACTTGGGTGTAGCCAGTGATGTAAACTTGGATGTGCAGGTGGTGTTATGGTTATAGAATTTGAAATTATTGAGTCAAGTTCCAATTCCAGTCAGGTTCATTATATTTAATTGGGAAAGGCATGAATCCACCTCTTCTTCCCACCAGCTATGGGTTAGTTACTAGGACTTTTATCAATAAATCATTATTATCCCCTGAAAAATTCTTACACTCTAAAAAATATTTTCTGGCTTTAAATAGCCTACAAAAGGTTGATAAGCCGTAAAAATGACAATCAATCAGTACCAAAATTTATTTTAAAAATTGACAAAAATACCATCTCAAGGGCAAAAGCATATTTCAAATTGCTAAGATATGGTACCTAGATATTTTTATTATAGGTGTTCTTAATTTGTGTGATTAGCCTGTGTTGGGCTCTATCAATGGGTATAACAAAGAAATTAAAGTTATTGCTACTGCTGCAATAGTAAATGGGAGAATCACTGTACAAACTTGGTAGAATTATTTACATGGTCTTTTAGGGGATAAATTATTTTTCTCTCTCCATCCTCTTTCCCCACAGATGCAAAGTTGCAAGTCTATGGCTATTTCCATGGAAAATGTTCAGATGAGCTCCATTCCTTATTTTCTCCAGTTCAGACCTTCACAACTTGGACATGCCATGCTACTTTCACAGAGTTGAATCATCCTCATTTCTTACTGTTATGGTCCAAGGTCCTTGTACCACGGTGATAGTCCAAGGTAGTACCAATAAAGAAGAACTCGAATACGAATATGGAATAACACAGATATATTACAAACAGGAATATATACAGAGAAGTAGAAAGTGTTAGTACGAACAATCAGGTTTAGTAGTAATTGTCTGGACATGCGACTCTGTTTGACTGACTGCCTTGCTTGCTCTGACAGACTCCTGACGAACTTCTGATGGACCTCACTCCAGATTTCAGACTGAACTTCCTGCTTCCTCTTGAGGCACAGTATTTATTACGTATGGAATAGTCCATTATGTTATTATGGGTAAGGTCCCATAACACTTACATAATTTTTTTTTTAGCATTTCACTCCCAAGTGATGCAATAAAGCCACTTAGACACAAGGGGTTACTGAGTGTGAAAGAATATGAGAAAAAGAAAATATTACTAAGGAGAGGGAATAATAAAAGAAACTGGAATAGTGTAAATAGAAAATTTAATTAGGGAACAATCCCTACCACCAAGAACACCCAGTTTGTGGAACAGACATCCATGTGGATGCTTCCTTGAATGCTACAATATTAATCGCTTGTTAACCATGTTCACCATAGTCTATGAATATAGAATCCAGCGCAGTACGTAATCTGTTCAATAAAACAACATTAAAGATTAACACTCACGAGTCAGACCCTCTACTGAATCCGCCTATATCGCCAATACCACCAGCAGCTGTTCCGTAATTCTTCAGGCTTCGATATCAAAGGCTGGCTGTCTGAATATTCGGGGAAAAACATGGCTGCCTTTATACGCGTCTCTACCTTGAGTTGCTCTTGGGCCTTGTACCGGGTGATTTTTACTTTAAAAAATAAAACATCAGCTTGTATTAATGCAAAAAAAAAAATGTAAAGAATCATTCAAATTATAGAAATTTATAGATGAAATGCGAACCAAAAGTTGAGGAAATGTGATACAAAAAAGTGGTTTTCTCAAAGAAATAAACGAAGAATATTAATAGAAAATGAGTTCTTGGTGTGATAGAGAAAGATGTGTAAAATATCAGGTGAGATGTGGATAAAGATGAAGGAAATTCCATTTGGTTAGCTTCTTCCCTAGAACTGCCACTTTGTGGAACAGAGACTCCCAAGAAGATGCTTTCCCAATCACTATAATCTTAACCTCTTCAAGTCTAAAATCAACAATTATATCTGAAATTTTGGATTCACAAGTTTTCATTACTGCAATTGATTTTGGCAACTTTTTTTTTTAATGTGATTTTTTTGAAACAAATTTTTATATACAATAACAAGTTTTATAACTTGGAAATAAATTTGGGAATAATTGAAATTAATTGCAAAATCCAGCAAAATTCACTCATGCAATAAAAATAATTGTTTGTATGGAAAGTAAGGACCTACATACATCAAATTGTTTTTAAATTAAGTTGTGGCAGAAGAATTATCATTGAACTTTTAAAAAGTAAACTTAGATATTAATACAATAACTAAATGCAACAATCAACTTTGAGTTATTAATGAAAATGGAACATATTAGATTGATAAACCTTTCCTTTTTGTTCTTCATCTTATCACACAACTATATATATATATATATATATATATATATATATATATATATATATTTTAACAACCAAAATCAAAAATCTAACTTACATCTTCTGTAAGTGTGTAATAATAGAACTTAATAAAAATGATTAGTGACTTTATTGCATAAGTTATCTTAGACTTGAGTCATCTGGAAGATAGCATTTATTCTGACTTATAATGACTGCTTCAGCAATGTTATTATTGTTAATTATGACCCATGTCAATATTCATTTGTCTATTATTTTTTTAATCATTTCACACCAAGCAAAGCAATAAAATCCACAATAATGCAAGGGGTTACTGAGGGGAAAAGAAACAGAGAAGACAATAAAAGAACAGGAGGCAGAAGATGATAAATGATGCTGAATTTAACATTTTGAAGATCATAGTTGACAAGAAGAGTTCCACAATCTAGAAAATATTAGAATAGAATTTGTAATTATATCTCACAATTTCCACAGTGAAATGATGAAACCTAACTGCCAATCCAGTACTACATGTGAATTTTGTTGCAATTCTATCTATAAAGAAAAGAAATCATTTTATTTTTATATTTTAACTCCCAAAATATTATAATCTCATAGATAAGTAAGACACCAGATTTGGTTTTTCGTAGTATTTCTCAAGATAACAAAGTGGCTTAGTAATACATGTCACTTCTAAGACCACCAAGAGAATGCTTCTCTGGTCACTATAAACGTCAATTCTAGGATTATCTGTCCAACATATTCTCATAATATGCATTTCATACTTCCTCCTTTTATGCCCTTACAATAGTCATTCCCAAATGGTGTGGTGGAAGAGGATAGCAGGTGAGGCAGAATGATTGAAAGATAATTAAAGATTTAGAAACAGTTTAAAAAATTCATATGCAAAAAATATATATAATTTCAAATTTTAAAATATTATTAGGGAATACTTGTAATTACATGCATAAGTCAGAATATAAATAGTTATTGACCGATTTTATCATTGAGATATTTTTGCATTATATCAAGTATTAAGAATATAGTAATTAAGGTCTGCAAATTGGAGGAGAGAGTTATCAATGATAATGTTCTGACTTGGAATCTGCAGTTATCTCCCTTTAAATGTACTTTTTATCATAAAGTTTGATGGTGTGAGCAAAAAAAAAAAATTGGGAACAACTGACCTATATTGAAAGATTCCTGGAGTCAAAAAACAATGAACATGACTTGTCAGAGTCTTGCAGAATTCAGTCTATTTAGGAGAATTTGATAAGATATACTTTCTTGAGAATTAATCATGTTACCCTCTTAGAAAAGATAAATAAAAAATACTGCCACAAAATCATAGGTATTCATTTAAGATAAGCACTTATAAATTTATCAAAACCAATTTAAAATATTATTGTATGCATGAGTCCCAGTATAAATCGTTATAAATAACTATTGACTGGTTTCAACATTGTGATATTTTTATATTATATCAAGTATTAAAAATATAGTAACTAGAGTCTGCAAATTGGAAGAGAGCGTTAACAGTGATAATATTTTGACTTCAAAACAGTAGTTATCTCCCTTTAATCCACTCCATTTTTTTTGTTTTTTTTGTTTGATTTCTTTTTTAAATGCACTTTTATTACATAAAATTTGGTGAGGCACAAGCAAATTTGCATTCCAAAAATGCAGCCCAGATAAAAAAAAAACAAAAACGTTTGGGAACAACTGCCTTACAACAACCTCATTAAGTAACGCTCTATCTTGGGTGGCTATTGGGTTTTGTATTTGGTGAGCAGTGGCTGATTGCCTAATGTATCATACTGAGTCAAACCAACTGCACCAAACAATAACAGAAAATGATGCCAAACTCTTTTTTTCTGGCTTTTATTTTGATAAGACAGAAAAAAAAGTTTTTATTCCTGACATCTTAAAATCAACGTCTGGAATTTCTTGTAATTTTATCTATGAAAGAAACAAAGAAACATTTACTTTTTTTTTTTTTTTTTTTTTTTGATATTTTATCTTCCAAACTTGTTATAATCTCTGATTTCGCACAAAACTGAGCCTTTCCTAGTATTTCTATAGGTAATAAAGCAACTTGATAATACAATGAACATTTAACAGATTATACAGGCTTATATGATAATAGCAGCAACAATCATTCTT